AGAGAATTTGCTATCTTTCTCTTCCCACCCCCTGAGTATAAAGCAAGTGTCTAAAAGCTGGGAAGAGGGTTCTTACCAGAAGTCAACAGTGCTGGTACCTTGATCTTGGGGCTTGTAGCCTCCAGAACTGTGAGAAAATAAATCTCTGTTGTTTAAACCATCAGTCTATGGTATTTTGTTATGGAAGCTGAAACAAATACAATGTTACCATAATGCAAAATGTATTGGGTCTTTGTTGCTGTTAAAGTCATATTTTACTTAGGCATATATAATTTGTATGTATGTATTAAACAGCTGATATCAGAGAAGACTTCCACTGGAGAGATTGCATGAGGATCTCCCAAAATATACAAACGGCTCATACAACTTAACAGTGAACAAACTCACCTGGCTGGAAAATAGGCAGAAGACCTCAATAGACATTTCTCCAAAGAAGACAGACAGATAGTAGTAGGTACATGACAAGATGCTCAATATCACTAATTATTAGAGAAATGCAAATACAGTGGGGTACAGCACTTCCTCAAATGGTCAGAATGGCCATCATTAAAAAGTCTACAAATAGAAAATGCTGGAGAGGATGTGGAGAAAAGGAAATCCTCCTATGCCACTGGTGGGAATGTAAGTTGGTACAGCTACTGTGGAAAACAGTATGGAGGTTCCCCGCACAAGCATGCTCAGTCACTAAGTTGTGTCTGATTCTCTGTGACCCCATGGACTGTAGCCCACCAGGTTTTTCTGCCCATGAGATTTTCCAGGCAAGAATACTGGACTATGTTGCCATTTCCTTCTCTGGGGTCTTCCCAACCCAGAGATCCAACCTATATCTTCTGCATTGGTAAGAAGATTCTTTACCACTGAGACACCCAGAGAGTCCTCAGAAAACTAGAAATAGAATTACCATATGATCTAACAATCCTGCTTCTGGGAATATGCCCAGACAAAACTATAATTCAAAAAGACGCACACACTCCTGTATTCATAGTGGCACTATTCACAATAGTCAAAATACGGAAACAACCTAAATGTTCATTGACAGATGAATGGATAAAGAAGATGTGGTACATATATACAATGGAATATTATTCAGACATAAAAAGAGTGAAATAATGCCATTTGCAGCAACATGGATGACACTAGAGATTATTATACTAAGTGAGGTAAGCCAGGAGAAAGATAAACACCATATGATATCACTTATATGTGGAATCTAAAATATGACACAAATGAAATGAAACAGAATCAGACTCACAGACATAGAGATCAGACTTGTGGTTTCCAAGTTGGGGCAGGAGGGTGGAGAGTGATGGACTAGGAATTTGGGATTGGTAGATGTAAGCTATTACATTTAAAATGGACAAACAGCAAGGTCTTAGTATATAGCACAGGGAACTATATACAAAATCCTGGGATAAACATAATGGAAAAGAATCTTTTAAAAAAAGAATGCATAAAAATTTAAAGCTAAGTCACTTTGCTGTATAGCAGAGATTGCCACAACATTGTGAATCAACTATATTTCAGTTTTAAAAAGTGTCCCCATTATTACACCTTTTATTTAAAACATTTAAAATGTTTAAATATTTTGAGAACAAATTACGTTAGTGTCTCATGTTTTAAAACATCAATTGACAGTAATCTTTATATCTAATGAATGTTCACTATGTGTGCATTCCATTTAATATCTCACTTATTCCTTGCAACAATCCCATGAAGAAGATACTATTTATTTCTTCATTATATAGGTGAAGAAACTGACAGAAATGTGAAATAATTTACCGAAATGTCACACAGCTATAAAGGATAGAGACAAGATTCTTATGTTGATAACCTGATTCTAGAGCCTTCCCTCTCCACTTCTTTCACATTGTTGAGAAATAAAAATAGGGCATTAGGAGGTTAGTGGAAACTATGGCAAGAACAATGTCAATAAAGTGATGAGGGCACAAGACAGCTCATAACAGATTGAGACAGGAAATGTAATTAGTAAATAAATTGCTATATCTCTTTATTATGTTGAACTGCATAAAACTGCCAATACTTAACCATTGTTTGACCTATAAAAATGTAATTTTCTTATGGTTTAACCTAATATATGTGTTAATTTATGAGTACTGTTTTCAAGAAATTTAATATTAGAGTTAGAAAATAGAAAAATTGAATAACAGAAGTTTTCAAACTCTCAAGGCTATGTGTATGTGTGTTTTTAACAGATCTGGAAACTGCTTCAAGCCTTCTTATTCTGACATGAGAAAAATGTGCCTACAGTTAAAATATCAAATATGAGATTTGTGAATTGCATTTCAGTAGTGGAGAAAAACATTTTAACCAATCAACCACATTCTCAGCATCAGGATGGTTGCAAAATAACACAATTTCTAGTTCCTGTCAGAAGCAAAAGTTATCAGCTGTTTTTACATGTTAGATTCTCTCTCTCTAAATCACAAAATGAGGACTGTGCTTTTCTCTACAATATCATCCAAAATTTTCTGAGAATTATGTTCTGATACATTATCTGGATATTTTAACGGCCCTCCTCACTGGCTTTCCATTGGCATAGAAGGATTGGATTCATTATTATCTGAATCTACTTTTCAGATAAGTAAAATACACAGATCATAAACTCTTAAAAGTTGATAGCTCACTTAGCCCTCCAAAGTTATCCAATTCAGTTTTTTTTACAGAAAACAAAACAGAGCTTAATAGAGGTTATTTTTTTTTCTGTATCATAGAGGTTAAATTAATAACTTTCCCTAGGTCGTACACCATTCAAATAAGATACTAAAACCCTGGTCTCCTGGTTCCTAGTCTTTGATACTATTTTCACTATGCTATAATACGACACCTAGTTTTCTTTTCTGTTATGTAAGATAGGCCCATTTAATTTTCCTTTTCTTCTTTTCAACTGAAGTTCTGAATCAGCTTATCTTGATAATTATTGGGACAAGAAGCACAAGGTTGAAATGGCTCTGTAATCAAAGAAACTCCTAGGCTATGAGGGCAGATTCTACTAGAATCATGAGTCCTAGATGCGGGGACTTTACAGCTGTTCCTTTTTCCCCACACCCTTTAATTCCTGGGGCTCTCTTTTGTTCCTTTAGCTTAGTTTCAGACTATCCAACCAGCCTTTTCGTCCCCACATTTGCCTTGCCTTTAATATTGAACTGCTTGTTTCTGCCTCTGACCCATGGTGTGGCCTGCCTTCTGGTATCCTCTTATATCTTGGTTTGTGCTTAACTGATTTCTCACTGGTTGTTTCATCACTTAGCCTTGAGCCCTAGCTTTGCTATATTCTTGATTTTCTTCATAATAGATTAAACTAAATTATAAATCCTGAGATACCTGGAAAATCAAGTGAATTTTATTCAGAAAATTGGGGGGAATTGCCTAGCATCTGTGTGGAACCCCAGATTCACTCTGCAACTTGATGACTGGAATTTGAAATTATTTCCATGGGTCACAAAGCAAGCTTCCTAGATATAAGTGAACTTTGTTGTGTAAGATGGTTATGTAATCTTAAGTTACAATAAGTCTAAAATGTAATTTTTAGTACTGTAGTAGACTTCATTTTTAGAGCAGTTTTAAGTTCACAATGAAATTGAGCAGAAAGTATGAAGAGTTCCAGGCAATTTTTTTTTACATTGACTAACTGTAAAGAAAACTTTATTATGATTTATGTTACAAAATGAAAGACCTATTTTTTAATTTATCTTTTGTGAAAATCCACTCAGGAGCTGGCTAAACTATATAACTATGCCAGTTACCAATTTATTGTCTCTCAGCTCCAAATCTACCCTTCATTGTCTGCTCTATGAAAATAGAGATGGACCTTGTAACATTTCTGCTTTGCAGCTGGCACAGTGCTTGGCCATGATGGAAAAGGGTGCTGGAGGGATGCTGAAGAAGGAAGGGCTTTCCTTCCTAGTTTCTGAGTTTACTCCTCCTTCTTGCTCCTGCTTCACGGCTGCCAGCAGCACTTGTGGGTACACTCAGGGGTGCTGTGGAGCTCAGTTGCACCCTGTGGGCAGGTTCCCATCAAATTTCAGAAGTACTCTCATGGTCGGATTCCCATCAAGTCTTGGAATCACAATGCTTGACTTCCAGTTTTGGCATCCTGCACCCAGGTAGGGTATTCCTGCTTGCCCAGTGACTGCGAACAGCTTCTGGATGAGCCCACAACCACACCTTCTACAGTGAGGTCTGAATCCCAGCTGCGGACAGGAGGGGCCACACTTCCAAATTTGTTTCTTCCATGAGAACCCTCCTCCAGCCCTGAAACATTCTTTAAACTTCTCTATATCCTTTTATGTAACTGAGACTTTTTTTTTATTAGAATTAATAATTTTTTATCTTAAATTTCCCCAATTCAAAATACTATGTTGTCTCTGCCCCTTTACTGACCTTAATTGATACATTAAACTAGGGAAAAGTAATTTTAATTTTTCAGTGCATAAAATCCTCATAAAATGAGAAAACTGGACCTCAGATGTCCTTTCCAGCTCTAAAGTTACATTATTCTGGGGAATTCAAGGTTTTTCCTATATCAAATACCTCTTAAGTATAATAAAAGGAATACCACACAGCACAGTATGATTGTGTATTGTCTTTCTCAGCCTCAGTCATAGTAAATGGGTCTCCCTTTTCCTCTGAATAATGGTTTCTTCCTTCTAGGTCAAAATATTAAGTCACTGCAGCAGCCAGTATTATTTCACACACACACTGGGCAATCAAATACTATGAAATTCTCTGTGATGATTTTAACTAGGAAGCTATCTAAGGAACAAAATGGAAAACTAGAGATTTGTGTATGAATATGAAAGTTTAAAATATAAGTATCATTTTTCAATTTGTGAATATAAATATTGTAAGGACATATTAAGTACAGAAAAATGCTCCCTCTGATATTATTTATCTTAACACATTATGGAAGACTCCATTCACATAACACATTACAGAAGACTTCTATTACCACACAATTTACTTTTTTTTTTTCTTTTTACCTTTCTCTGTCTTTTACTGACTGTTCAGCCATTAATTTCTTCAGTTTTTCCAGACGGCGAAGATCTCTCATTTCCATTTCCTGCCATTTCTGTTCTTTATCAGCCCAGTATTTTCTTATCTAATGTATAAATATCACATAAAATTTAAATTAACAACTGAAATATAAAAACAAGGAACAAAGTTATAACATTATCCATTGGCTCATATAGCAAATACTGAATTTAAAAGGCCCTTCATGTTTTTTTGGTCTGCCTGCAAAACATTGACAACAGAAAAAATAAGTTAAAACATGAAAGTACAAGTCCTGAGAAACTGCATGGTTTAACAGTTTCTAAAGTGAAAATGTAACATGTGCTCAAGACCTAAAGTTTTAATCTATGGCTAAAATAATCGACTTTCAGGGAACCACAATAAAAGCATATTATTGTCTCTAAAGTATATGATCTACCTGTTACTCAAGAATATTTTTATCCTCTTATGGTAATGTAGTCTTTAACAAATATAGCATTAAATCTATTTTTACTTTAAAAGCATGAGTTTATTTATGCTAATGGACAGCAGGATATTGAAAGCTTTATGCTTCTGGGGATGTGGCAGGAGATAGGTGGGAGGAAGGAGGAAAAGAAAAAATTAGCAGGGTTGTGATAAATAGTAATTCTGACTTATGTGGTAAAATGAAGGACAAATTTATCAAGCTCAAAAAAGTGAAAGCACTGTCTGACTAGGCATGTTTTACTTCCCTTTCCTGGGAATGGAGGCAGCAAGAGAAAACCTGAAGCACACATAAGCTATTTTCAGGGGGCTGAAACCATTATTCCCCTAGTGATGAGGCAACTGAAGTTTATGTTTAATGACAGAGGACCATTCAATGACTGGCCTGCCATGCTGTGTCTGGGTCAAGAGACTGAATCTTGCTCGTAAAAAACAGTACCTTAATGGTGAATGGTAGTGAGTTACTACCAGCAGAGTGGCTTTCGTAAAGGTTGGGTTAGCCTCATCCCCAAGGTGGCATTTTTCTTTTTTGAGAAATGAATATGAAAAGTTAAGTGGTTTTCAGACTTGCCCAGCAACGTGGTCTCTGAACCCTGGGAGAACAAGAGGAGGCATCCCAAGTTCCACGGCCACAGCTGCAGCAACTCTGCCGCAGGCCTGCAAAGCCAGCAGCCACAACAACAACATCCGCTCGATGCTTAATGCGTAACTGGGTGGCTCCAAGGTAAAGTGATTCTCCACCAGACATGGTCGAAATCTGAATTTGGGGAGAACAGAGATGAAGCTAGAAAGGTAGGGGCACCAAAGATGGAAGGTGAAAGAGAGGGTAGGAAAGGGAGAAAAAGGAACACTGACATAGTTCAGAGTCCTAACTGATAAATGCCTCAGCATTCTATTAGTGCCAGATATGGAAATGTTAACAACCATTATATTACCTCCCTCTGGGTTTATAACTGATCTTTATTTTATTCTTCAATACTTTTCTGTGTTACTTATTTTGTGCAGTGAATATATATTTCTTTCGTAATCAGAGAGAAAAAAGATACTTCAAAAGAACAGATATTGGATTATAGGGCATTTTTCTCTGGGTTCTGACCATTGACAGTATTGTTTACTCCCAGCATTGACCTTGAGGGGAAGTCAGTGGTCCTTCTGCCTACAATCCCTTGACAAGAAGTGGACCAATCCCAGGTTGCTGGTATCTTCAGATCACTGACACCATCTGGTTCAGTGGCCTGTGCAGGCTCTGGAAATGTGTCACACTTGAGGCTTTTTGGCGTCTCAGAACCAACTATTTCCATCCTTGACTCTGGTATCCTCAGCCTTTGCTATAGCTAGCAAATCATTCTCTCTCTCCCCCTCACTCCCTCCCTCCCTCCTGTCTTGACTGAAATTCTCCTGAGTGAAGGACGCTTTTCTTACGATGCCTTGTTTGCCAGGAGGCTGGGGAATGGTTTGAGCATTTTCCATCTTGTTAATGGCTAATTTGAGACCACGATGCTGTCCCTCTCAGATACAATGCTTTCTTCCTTTGATGTTTACACCATCTGGCTGTATTACCCTCTCCCTAGCCTTATCACCGGTATGTGTGGACTTCCAGGTCACTCTCAAATATTCATTGAGAATTCAGATACGTGAGCCACAGCCACACGGGTCTTGTCTAGAAGAACTCTTTCTACCTTCCTAGTCGACTTACGTCTGAAGCCCCTCTGACCTGCTAACTCACAGACACATGACTTCCTCCATTCCAGCGAGCCACCTCCCCCTCCAGGATTCTACTATCATGGAGAATGGCTCCAATTCCAAGAGCTTCAATTATAGCTATTTATCTTACAACCAGACCTACGACCCCTTCCCCATCATCCTCTGTGTTCTGCTTGTATAATTTTATTCCTCTGGTATAAGCCTCACCACAAGGCTTTGCTAATTAGTATACTTGTTCCTCTGTCCCGGTAGACTGCAGAAACTGTGATTTATTATCCTCCGCACTTCCAGCAACAACTAAAGTGTCTAGGAGATAGAATATACCTAATAAACATGTGATTGATGAAAGAATTACACGGCTTTATAAACTAGTACCAAATTGATGGTTTCAGTTGAAACTTTATTGACAATCATCATTCCTTTTATGAACTCCTGGCCAGTGCTTCTCAGCTGCTCATGGTATCATTTGAAAGGCTGTTCACTATGTTAAGTTCCACACCTGCCTCTATTTCTTTGCTTTTATCAGAAGAAATGGAGATCCTAAAATATCATTTCCTTAATGTCCTACTCCTCAGAGGAAGTGATGTCCTTCCTTCTTTCCACCTGGGCTCTATATCCTATTCTCCAATTCCATCTCTATAATCTTCCTCCATCACCTACCCTTTCTTCCCTTGTAATTTCAAACTCTTGGTCATTGCTGCTTCTTTCTCACATGAAAATCTAAACAAATCTTATTCATTAACCAAAATTGTAAAGTACTTTCATTACACACCCCAAGACTGTAGCACCACACCCTTCATTGTCCCTTTCAGTCAAGAATACTCTCCTCCAATTTTGCATCTCCTGTTTTAGTCCTCACCCATGACGTTCCTACCTCTGCCTCCACTCCAATTGACTACTTCTACCAGTGACTTCCCAATGATCAAACCAAATTCATTTTACGTAGTGTCTTATTTTTTTTTAGAGTCTCTGAATTTGATTCTACGAACACTTACTTATAGTCTTAAGAAACTAGTGACTTTGGCATTCATTTATTAAAAAAATACTCATTGAGCATCTACTTTAAGCCAGATACTGTGCTATGTACTTGGGATATGATGCTTAAAAAGAAATAAAGCCTTGGCTTCAAGGTTCTGAGAGTTTCTGGAAAGAGAGATAACAAGTAAATGAATGAAAAGAATATTATGTTAAATTCTAGGAAGGAAATAAATATGGTGATAATTTAGAAAAATCTGGGAAGAACTATTAGAAAGCATAGTTTTAAATGATGTTTGGATTAAAATTTGGAAGATGAGGGTAAGGAAACAATGAAAAGAGATGAAGGAGACCACTGAAGGAAGTGTGACTTTTGGGTGCAATAACATTGAGTGAGAATGACTTTGCAATTGTTCAGAATTGGGAAGAAACCAGTGCAGCTGGAACAGGTGGTTTGAATTTAGACTGGAGGTGAGTTTGGTAAGCTACATGGTAGCTAGATGATTAGGCAAGGATTTAGTTCTTAAAAAAGACATAGAAGAGTTTAAAGCAAAGAGTGATATGATGTGACTTAAATTTTTAAAAGATAGCTTGAGCTATTGAGTGAAGAATGGACAGTAGAGGAGCAAAGGAGAAATGAGAGACCAAACAGAATAAAGCAAAAATAATCACTGGGATTCAGGAACTTAAGAATTCAAATCTAAAATGTGCTTTTGAGTAGAGTCAGAGTGCTCATTGAAGGATAAGATACGGTAGTTGAAGTTAAAAAGAATCAAGGATAATTCCAAGGGTTTTGGTAGAGCAACTGGCTAGATGATGGTACCAATAACTGAGATGGGAAATTAGAAGAATAACAGGTTCAGAAAAGAAAGTCAGGGGCTCACTATTAAACATTAAACAGTTGACACGACTGTATGACATTTAAGTAGAAATTCCACATAAACATCTGGAGGTACACAGATGGATGGCTCAGGAGAATTCAGGACTGGAGATCTAAATTAAGGAGACATTCTCTTAAAATGGTATGATGCCAAGGGATTAGACAACATCTGTAGAGTGAGAACATAAATAGAAAAGAGAAGGCAGTCATGCACTTTCATGTTTATATAAAACTGCCTTTTGCAGCTTTATCAACTAGTATAACTTCATTTTCCTTCTCTACATGTCAGTTTTACTCTACCATTAAGACCAGAACAAATGCTATCTTCTTGAATCTTCCTCTGAACCCTCTAGGAAAAATGTTAGCTCAATACTTGGCACACCACTGGTCTTTTATTAAGATTTTTTTACCCTCACTTTTTTGTTTTGCCTTGCACTATTTCATTTGCTTCCAGGAGGGACTGCCACTGCCATTGTTATTGATCTATCTGGGCATTTACTACATGCCTGGCATGCTCTGCCCTGCATTATTGCCTGCTAAATCTCCCTGTCCATCATTTAAGACTCAACTATAGCATTGCTTTCCCAGTCTTCCTCCTTCCCCCTCTTCTCCAGACATAGTTAGGCACTATTTTATGTATTCTTAGCATAGCACTTCCCATATTGATCTGCATTATTCACCTTTGTATGCCTAGGACATTGTATCATGTCTGACACACAATAGGGCTTAAGTGATCATCGCTAAGGTGAGTGGAAGCATTTTCTGATCTCTGGTCTGAGAATAACAAAGTTATGGATGGGAACCAGGCCAGCAGTTTTATTTGCAGGGTGGTAAAGTCTGAACTAAACACTTCCCTAAGGACAGTTCCATTCACTTTCCATCAGTTAATAAGAGCAGGAAGTGTGTGTCATGAAATATGGGCTTTGCAAGCTTCAACTAAAGTTAAGGTTAAGAGTATTTAACTAGCCCTTTAGGACATTTGTTGAGACATAGATTGTAAACATACTATTTATTAGACTTTTTGAGTGGTCCTTACAGCTTTCCAATGATAGGAGAACCAGAAAGCT